ACGGGGCTGAGCATCTTCTATGTATGGCTCAGACCCCACCACCTCACGATTGTATGTGTGTGGAGTGATGCTATGTGAGTCAGTCTATGTGAGTCAGTCCGTTCATCAGACTTCCGTTGCATATATGCTCATCCTACATTGGTTGATCCTTGGTTCTGCCCATACTCATTGGAGTATGTAACAGGGCTGGTCCGCCCAACACCACCTCTGAATGTGCAGCAAGAGCATCAAAAGGACAAAGCGGAAATGCATTTGTGCACTACTCCCATGGGTTGGCTTTTGCTGTGAGCTGTGCTCCGTCCAGGGCCCTTCAGAAAGCAGCGCCCCTCTCCCACAAGCATGCTCCCCAGGAAGAATGTCGCCTCTCAAGGTAGAGTGCTCACGACCCCTGACACAAGTGAGGACTTTCAAGAAAGACACTTCCTCACGGTAAGAAGCATCAGACGACGGTAGATAACTTTAGGAGCAACATCGATGCATCAACACCACCCATATTACAATGTAGCGCCACCTTTGCGAGAACGCCATGTCAGCGTGCTCTAATCACACAGCATACACCCAATTTATGTCACCACAGATCCTTCCTGGGCACTTCCTGGTGCTGCCCTTTCAATCCAGGGCCGCCAAAACCAAAGTTATCTCCACTACGCTGGTCACACCAACCAGCGTACCAATTAACACAAGCACCAGCGCCGATGGAGTGGTTCGAACCAGCTCCGATACCAAATTGCAAGTAAAATGAGTGAGAGCAAATGACAGAAAACCAAGTGGCAACATCACATTGAAAGCCATATAGTCGAGTGTCGAACAGAAGGCAAAATGCACCAAGTTACACATCAAATAAGACGAAAGCAATGGACTCAACTGTCAATGAAAGCCCCCTTGTCGCCACCACCAACAATGTATCCAATGTCGCCCTTCTGTCTTGCACCTGGCACACAACTACAGACCTTCGACATCTATACTAGTCTACACTAAGTGATAAAACCAGGAAGCACTTCAGCAGCATACCAATGTACATGAAGACATTGTCGATGCAGACCTCCACGATGCACCAGGTACGTCCCTTCACTCTCCCTTACTCGCCCCTCGTCTGTCCTCCACAGGCTGTCCTTCACTGGCCAGGACCACCACCATCGCCACCAACAACCAGTGAGAGCAGTCTGGCTATGGCTGCCTCACACGCTGCTGCTCGCCAGCAACTTCGTCCTGGCACCCTTGTGCGCCCTGGCCAGCGCCCGATGTCACGCAGCAAACCAGCAGCACTTTCACCATGGCCTCTAGTCAGAATCCCCTTCCCTGGTGGCAGGCCCTTTCCTTTTTGGAAAGTGGCAGCCGGAGAGTGTTCCTCAGTAGGCTGGCAGCCTTCCCAGTGTTTGCACCCAGGGCCTTCTCAGATAGTTCCTCGGGCCCGAATTAGTTATGGGACTCCAGCTGCATGAATGGTGGTTAGTGCTGTTCACTGTGCTTTCATTGGCTGCAGGGCATTTAGCCACATCGCGGCCTCGCGGTCTCAGACCCCAACATGGTCACACAGCCTTCAGGGACGGACCCTTCCAGAGGTTAGCCCCAGGGCGTGGGAGCGACAATAGCCACCCAACACTGCCTTCTCAACTCTATGGAGAGGGGGGGGGGGGTGCGCAGAATTGGCAGGTCTTTGGGGGACTATTGCGTGCCTTCCCTTAGGGCGGGCCTCCTATGGGTGCTGCCGAGGCCACAAGGCCTCACAGTCTGCAAGTTTGTAGGTTATTACAATAACATGGTCTGTCTGTTAATAGACGCCTATGTAGTCTTCAACCAACGTTTGATCTGAACTCCCTCCACTGCCACTTCTTCGTGCCAAAATGCAGAAATAAGAGAAATGTATTGTTCGAACATGCCCTAGGTCCACAAAGGTGCCCAGCACCCAAGGTGCAGCCTTGGCTGCTCCAAAAGGTGTTTGGGCCCTGACATGCCACACCTTTGAAGAGACTGTGTGAGGGCTAAAGAGGTTGGAAGTCCTTCAGGACATCCCTTAAAATTGGAGTGATACAGAGAAGACTAGCATCGCCCCTGTGCAGGAACAATACAAAAAATCGAGGTTGGGAGCATCAGGGGAAAACTGGCATAAACTCCGTGAGAATGGAAGAAGGAGATTAAATACTTCCAGATACCTAATCTGTAATGTGCGGCTTACACTAGCAAACATTATTTATGTTGCTTAAGGATGCCCTTATTGTCATTCGGAGCTGGGAATATAGGGAGACGAGTGCAATGCAATTCGGATACAGTTGGTGATCATCTTTGTTCTAACACTGATGTCGATAACAAAAGTTTTGTAAGTGACAAATTATGGTTTTGGGAACCCTCTGTGTGTGGGCTTCATGGACGCTCGTCCATGCTGGACACTCACAATACATAAGTTCTCAGTCACACAGTGGATGGGAGCAATCTGGTCAACCACACTCTTGACATCAGTGATGAAGGTATGATAGATGTCATCTTACCACACTGGATCCCAGGCTTCCATCTTCCATCTTACCTCTTGGTCAAATCTGCCTGGAGAAGCTTCCTGACAAGGTCTCTGGAGCTGCAGGTTAGAAGGAAAACGTGACAAATACATACACAAGTGGGTAATGCAAGGAATACGAGTGAGAATGATATACAGAAAGCCAAGTTGCGAGATCACACAGATGTCCAAGTAGTCGTGTACAAGCATAGAGCACAAATGCACCGAGATTCCATGCATATAAGAGCAATACAATGAACTCATGAGCCAATATTCAAGCCCTCAGGCCACACCAACAGTACCCAATGTCGCTCCTCTCTGTCTGGCACCCAGTGCCCAACCTACACTACTTGCATATCCTACTACATCCACATTCACACAACAGGCTGACTTTGACTTTGAAGACCAATGTACATGACGTCAACACCATAGCCGACCTCCCTCATGCACCAGGTACGTATCTCGTCTCCCCTCATCAGACCCTGACCACCCACACTCGCCTCCTTCCTGAAGACCACCAATCGCCCTCTTACCCCCTACCGCCCTGCAGTCCGGTTACGATTGCTCGCACTCCGCTGCCCAGCAGTGCCCCTCTCACCTCTCAAAAGCCCGCATGCACCCTGGCCACTAGCGCAGCATGCAGCGTCTCGGGCAGCAACACAGCAGCGTGGCCGCATTGCCTGCGTGGGCCACCATGCCTGGCTCTGGCTGCCTCCTTCCCTATACGGAGGTAGCAGCCTCTCTTTGGCTGTGTGTGGCCTGGCTGGGAAGCTTCCGGTAGCTTCCGGTCAGGCCCCAGTGCCTGCGCCCAGGCCCAGCTATGCAGTTGAGGGCCTGGGGCCTTTACACTTGGGAACGGTCAGTATTTCCAGACCTGGGCCGTTTGCTGCACTTGCACAGGACCCGAGGCATGTCCGTCAACAGTGCTGCTTTTCGTAGGCCCGTAGCCAATTTGCGATGTATCTGTCTTGCATTGTGTGTGTGTGCCCAGGCGCAACTACCAAGGCCTGGACCCAACTGTACGGCGCAGCACAGGGAGGCTCATGCTTCCTCTCAACCAACTGGCATGCTGCAACTGCCTGGGTACCCACATATGGAAAATGTCAAATTCTTGGCCTCTGGTGAATATTCAGGCCTGCCATCACTTAGGGCGGGCACGGGGCTTGCTGAGGGCCTTAGCCCAGAACGTGTGCATGGCTGATAAGGGCCCTGCAAGGGCGCAT